TTCCCTGACCTGGGTTGATGTGTACCTTGCCGAAATGGCCGCAATGGACAGTCAAGCAGTGGGATCCTGCAACAAATTCCCGGAGGTAATATTTCTCTTCCATGAAGCAAAATACCAATAATTTTGGTTTCTCAACTTCTAAAAAGGGCTTGTGTTTTCAGGTCACAGCTCATGCGGAGAAAATACATTCAATTCCGAGTCTCAAGAAGTACCTCCAAGCTCGTCCTAACACGAAATTCTGAATGATGGACCAGATCTCACTGACACCTCATGTATATATCTCATATATATCTGAGCATGTCCTTGACTATTTATGTTGTAAGTGTATAGTTCTTTTCGAGCAATAAAACACTTACCGCTAGTTTTCCGTTTTCCCCTTGAAGAATGCGTTTTCCTCTGCTGATCTTCTCTCTGATCTGGCCACTATTGGCAGAAAACGCAGCCGCGTGCGGGTTATTCTGGGCCTCCTGACACCGCCAGCTTGAGAGGGTAACAGCTACAGTTCCGAGAGCACCGGCATTGAAGTCACAATTATTACCGGTCCCATGGGCGGAGCCGGACCTACACTTGTGCTTTTCTCGTTGGCTCCCTCCTTCTCACCCGTGCTGCAGCGAAGGAATTCACCACCAAGTAACTTTCAAAATTGAGCAATATTATGTGTGCCATCCTACATCATCTACAAGGGTGTACATTTGACATGGTCGCCATCCAGCGGGGGATGTCTGGGGCAGTAGAATGAGCCACCCTTTGTCGTTTTCTACTGCTGGTTATGTCCTATCTGGGCTGGGCACCATTGGCACAAAACGCAGTCGCGTGCTGGTTTAAGCTGCGTTCATACTTTGCAGCAGCGTCCAAAAGCGACCATCAGCGTTTTGAGCCTCAGAGACTAGAAAATATAGATCGATCTAGCGAACGGGGAGCGTCTACCAGCGTCTGCGTCCACCAGCGATCAAGAGTAGAGAGAAGTAGAAGGGTAGCAGACTGCTGGTAGTGCACGTGGATTAGGAGGAGGAGACACCTGGCTGGATTAGGCGTCGTCAAATTGTAGTGTGTGCAACCGCAAATACGGCACAATACCGTACTGCTGGACGCTGGTGGACGCTGGTAGACGCTAAATCGATTCCATACTTTCCTAGTCCTTCGAAGCGCTGCTGTCCGCTGGTAGGTGCAGGTGGACGCTGTTGGACGCTGGTAGACTCTGGATTGACGTCCATGATTCCCTAGTCCCTTGAGACGCTAATGATCGCTGGCGGATGCTGGTGGACACTACCGCAAAGTATGAACTGAGGTGACCCTTACTCTTCGCTTCCTGACACTGTCAGCCGTATTGAGGCGATATTAACTACAGTTCCAACAGCAACGGTGCACTGAAGACAATTAACACTCGTGTCGGACAATTACGTGTGCCTTTCTCGTTGGCTTCATAATAGAAGAATTCATCAGCGAGGAGGAGGGCATAATGAAGGGTTTGCTCTACCCGTACTCTTTTTGACAGCTTGCCTTTGAAGCCGTTCCTGTGGCTTAAGTGCTCCATTCGAACGCGAAAACTGGTGAGAAATACCATTCTTGTCGACTCTGCACTCCAATTTACAGATTAAAAAGTTCTAAGAGCCGAATGACGAGGTTCTCTGGAAAAGCGTCTTGGCTTGTCGCATGGACGGAGCCGGCCTACTATTGTGCTCATCATAAAAAAAGTATCCACTACATCTCGTACAGCAAGGCGTCCATATCATGTGATGCAGAAAACACTGGACATATTTTATTAGTCGAAAATTCTGATATAGGAAAAAAAACTACGTCGCTAAAAGGTTAGCCCAATATTCTAACCTCTTACGACAGCGCTGACGCATAATGTCTAGAATTTTTGAACTTGAATAAATGTATAAATGTATGTAATAATGTAATGTAGTTAGAACAGAAATGGGGGGGGGGCATTTTGCACTTTCGTTGCTTCACTAGTTCTGGTTTACAAGTCTCACTCTGGTGAAACCTGTGAACTCTTGTGAAGCTGGAGCAAGCTCGTCAAGCCATCATGGTAAAACCTGTCAACTCGAGAAGAGGCTGTCTAGATGGGTCGACACGTCGATGGGAAGTAGCAAAAGTGCAAAATGTCCCCTCCCCCCTCCGTCGCCAAACTGCGCCGTGAAACTGATCGTTTTGAATTACTGCATTTCTATAAATACCAAACCAGTCCGGTGGTGGTGTAGGTATCGGATGAAATTAATAAATCCTTTAATAGGTTAGCAACGGGTGAGTAACAACCGCTGAGTGACCAGCATCAGCCAGGTGAACGGAATGGCTATCGATTTGTTTGTTCACCGCTTCAATCAATTCTGCTGGTGAAGATGTCGTTAGCACGACTCACGGCCACCCTGCTTATACTGGTAGCTTTTACTAGCACTTATCATGTCCAGCGGACCAGGTGAGCCATCTCCTTCATACTTGGCTATTCAATTGCATACTTTTATTAATATTATTTATTTATTGTTACTATATGACTATTAACGCTGTAGCAGTAGCAGTAGCACAGAACATGCGTAAATACCGCCAGGTATCACCGTATTTTTATGACACTTTTTAAAATTACTAATTATTGAAAAATTAGTTATAATTAACAAAAAATAAATAAAATTAAAGAGTTACTGACTTGTAAAATCCCAAGGCTGTTCCATATTAGTGCTAATACTCTCTCCTTTATTATTTCATTTCTTCCTTCCCTCTGCGTTTAATAGGGAGCTCATCAACACACCGATGGAGAAGTCAATGCGGAACTGGGAACCCTGTTTCGGGCGCTTTTTGCTTACTCATGGACAAAATTGACTCAAGCACAAAATTTTTCACACGAGTCATTTTTTCGGCAGTTCTCTGTACAGGGCACATGGTTCTTGGGGATTCCTAGACACGGGGGTCGTATCTGGTCACTGCGAGAAGGGAGTCGCATTTATGCTGAAAAACTTTGTTTTGATATCAGATTTTCCTTGTTTCACGGGAAGGGGGTCGTATTTGTTCGTTGTTGGAGGATGGGTCGTATTTCCCTCTGCTGACCTGAAAGGATGTCTGACTTTTCGTGACTTTTTCGTGTTTTTCGTATGTACTATAGGCACCCTCCCCATCCCGCTTGACAGCAATGTTTTTCGGCAAAGTAGGAAAATTTTCGTTGAGAAGTTCGCGGAAGAAAATGTATTGGTGGATAGGTAAGTTTGGGGGAAATCAAGAAATGAGGGTCACTTTTCGACACGCTTTTCTTCGTTCCATATCACGCAACTTCACCCCTTTTCCTCCCTCTGACATGCTCATGAGTGAGGAAACCAGAGGGTCGGAAACAACCCCCCAAAAAAAGGCGGGGGGGGGGATGGCGTTTCAGGATAAGTCATCAACTCTTTTTAAGAAATCTTTTCTAGGACTAAACTGTCTCCTATGAAACGCCATAATGGTGATTCGAGCTTATTTGAGTAATTTCTTGAGGATAAGTATTATTCAGGTCCCTGTCTGGAACCCCTGCCACGGACGGCAACAATGTGACAAATGCAGAAATATATCGTCTCATTACTCAGCAACTCCTCGATGGGTTCGCTATCTGGCGAGTGAAGATGTTCAACGACCGAACATTTGTGGAGAGTAGACGGCGTAGTTATTGGCTCGGTGACCGATATTATCGTATGGTAAGTGTAAGATCAACACTTTGGCGATCAAGCATCTTTGCAACCTTATGCTTTTCTGGTCTACTTCTTTGGCCCGCGTCTTTACTGGGTTCTTTTGGATCTGGGAAAGGTTCTTTTGGATCTGGGAAAAAGTGGCTGAGAAATCATCAACATTGACGCAGCCTTACCCATCCTATACAGTTCAGCCGGAATAAGCAACGCACTCTTTTCGTGCATCGAGAACCGACCAAACTGTGGCCGAGGGTTCCGGTCGGGAGATCCATGTTGCACCAACGAACACAAGCTAGCTAGTGTTTTCTAGCTTTGACAACATGTTCTGTAGCACTTCCACGTCAAATCAGTTAGGTCCTGGTGCAAATGCCACTTGACGCGCCACTCTCAACGCCGCGTGGATACAGCGTGGCCCTCTCGACCGACAGCTGCGTCCGGGAACCACCTTCGGGTCATTTTCACTTAATCGTTCATGTCTCTAATACAGGCTATTTCAATCAAAAGCATGGCGCCTGTTCCACTCGGCGAGTGCACTCGTTGTCCCGGCAAACCAAAATTTGTGAAGGGACGTGGACTGGAGCGCAGCCAGCGGCAGCGCTTTCCACCCATTGTTGCCACCTCATGACGGTTTCAGTTGGTGGGAAAGGCTGTTGTTCTTGTGCTCCCACCCCTCCCTCCCCCTTCATTCGAAGTGGTGATAACTGCCTCTATGCAGACCCTATTGAGCTGACGGTGGTTGGAAATTAATACGGTTAGTTAGTCAGCTTTTACAAAAAGAAGTCGCTCTAATGATAGCACTCCCTATTGTTGAGAAAGCCCAGTAAGTATGTGGGATCTCTAAGGTGGTCCTTGAGACATAATGGGTATCACGTTCCTGAGAAGTGTGATCACGGGCTCCGCCTGGGAAAAGGAAAGGTGACAAAATTCTCGTTTTCAGGACAATGACTACTACTGGGTAGCTCGCGATACCTGTGCATACCGTATGAACGAGACGGAACGGAGAAACCTAGTCTACGAGGATGGTATTCCCATCTACGATATTATCTACCAGTGAGTTTGTGATGGTTTGTGAAGTTGGTCAAAATGAGCTCTGGATAAGTTTTCTTTGTGTGTGGAACTACTAGCCCGAAGCCGACGCTTGTTAGTAGCCATTTCTGGGTGG